AGGTTAGAATTTGAAATTCTGGAAATGAAATTCTGATATTTCCCAAACACCCAATATTGAAATTGAATATTAAGATTTCAAATTCTAAAATTCAATTTCAACATTTGAAATGAATATCATGTTTCCAAACACAACCTTAGTTATTTCCTATTGTAGTAACTTTTTCGGTCAAAATGACCAAAATACCCTCATTTAAAATTCATTAACACATAATACCACACATAATTACAAATCCTTATAACCCTAATCTGAATTAATTATCTAAACCTTCCCACCCAAATAATCAGATTATCTCTCAATTTCTTCTCCCTCTTCATCTTTCATTTCATCTTCTTCATCTCTCATAATCAAATTGCAGATCATCCGGTTCGTGATCGGTGGTTAGTGGGATTTGGTGTGTTGTCAATGATTGTGGTGGTTCGCGGGGGGTGGTTTTGGTTGTTTGTGGAAGGGTTTTAGTGATTCGTCGGTGGTTTTGGGTTTGTGGTTGGGTTTCATGGGCTTTGGTGGTGGTTTTGAATTTTGGTGGGTCCGGTGGTTTTGGTGTTGGTTATAGGTTTTGTGGTTCTGGGTTTGGTGGTTTTTGGTGGTGGTTCTGGAATTCTAGGTTTCGACGATTTTTGTTTTTTTTAGTTGGATTAATATTCAAGTACATGCCCATATGGTTCCATAATCATGCTTAAAAACTTTTTCCTACGAGTCTGCGCGGACCCCCATTGTTGCAAATAATAGTTAATAGACGAAGTATTATATTCAAGAATGGAGTTTGCTAGATTAATTTAGTTTTCGAAGAGCATATATGGGAATTGTATGATGTTTAGGAAGATGACTAATGAAGATCATGAGAATATGCATATGGAAATCCTCGGCTTTTCGGTCAAAAGAAAAAGAAAGTTTAGAAAGGGAAAGGGATGAAGGTGGAAGAAAGGAAAGGAGGAAATTCCAATACAAAAGTAAAACACTTATAAGAAAAACAATTAGGCAAACCAATGAGAATATGCCACATGGCACTAGATATGTTAATGAGGGATTGAGGGTAATAAGACCATTATGTGAAGACACATGAGTTTGTTCTATTTCTTGTTTATCAAAAGGTTAGAGTATTTAAAGAATGATGTACATAGTTGGGGTTGGTCTTATCTAATTCTCTGTACTCTTTGTCTTATTATGTACGTGGAAGTCTTAGGCCCTGTATAGTTCACCTTATTTTATTCACCTTATTATATATATATATATATATATATATATATATATATATATTCTAATTTGGTGATTTGACCATACTTTGACCTTATCTACACTAATCTATAAAGAAAAAAGTATCAAAGGGGTCTTTAGATTCATAATAATGTGTATATTATTACCCCCTTTGTATTTTATTACTTGCTCCGTTTTTCTTAGGCACGTATGCCAATGAAATCTTTGATTAATATTATCTTTAATCATCCATAAGTAAAAATTATAGCAATTGAAAATTAATAATCTATTCATTGAGACATTTTAACAAGTAACCATAAGATTATATTTTACTTATGTTTAAATCTCAAACATTAGTCAAAGAAGAGCAAATGAATAGTGCAAAAAGTGCAAATGGATCAAGTAATAGAGGGAGTAATAAGTAGTTTTATAATTTTTTTTATTACGAAATTAAAGATATATAACAATGAAAAGCCACACATAAAACGATATTATGAATTTATGTTTTTTGTTTTGATTTGAACTTTTTCTTTTTTCTCTTTGATGTGATTTGAAATAAATAATGAGCTCCTGTAATAAGATGAACTAAACATGACCTTAGTCTATAAATAGTGATTTGCTTGATACTTGGAAAGGTAGATCGATTTTCTTGATTTCTTCTTTGGGCACAATCACAAAGTTCCTCATTGTCATTCGAAAATTTTCATGTTTTCTCATTATCGAAAGGATTTGGTAAAGGGCTCGTTTATATTTACTTAATTTCAGTTCAGTTCAGCTCTAATCAGTTCAGTTCAGCTCCAATCAGTTCAGTTCAGATGAGCTCTTAATTTTCCTCTCTCATAAAATATTCATTTCAGCTCAATTCAATTCAGTTCAGTTCAGCTCCAATCAAATCAGTTCAGTTCTGTTCAGCTCCAATCAGTTCAGTTCAGCTCAATCCAGTAAATGTGAACAGGCCCAAAGTAGATGTTAAATGAGATAATGGGTATTATTGTATTGAAAAAGTAGATGTGATGTAAGATAATAGATTTTCTTTTTTCAACGCAAAAGTGAGTGGGACCCTAACTTTGTGGTTGTAAAAACAAAAATGTATTAATAATGGGGTCATTCTCATAATACAAGTGTAAAAACTAGTTTGGATTTTGGTTTATATGAAAATAAAATACACCATCTATACTTATATAATAAAGTAATTCCCGTAATTATCCCTAAAGTACACGTGTCATTACTTCATTAAAAAATTTTCCGCCAAAAAATTTGTTATTTTTTTTAAAGGGAAGGGAATGACGCACACCAATAATAATTTAAATAAAATTAGAAAATATAGTGGTAAAGAATAAAAGAATGTTATGTAATACTATAAAATACTACATAGGATATTTGTATTTAAAAAAAAACGTAGGACATTACTATCTAAGAATATTTTATTTTTATTGTTATCAACAAAAATAACATGAATAGTGAGTACTTTTTATTTGAGAATAAGGGTAAGATTTCAAATTACGAATACTAAAATATTGTTATTACTCCTTCCATCTCACATTAGTTGTCCTATAAAATATCACAATGTTTATTACAACGTTACACGGTACGTGAGACATTTTGGAACGTGGTACGGGAACGGGGCGTGGAACGTAGTCTAGAGAGTTCTAGGAACATATGACTCTGGAGTTCCCGTTTTTTTTTTTTTTTTTTTTTTTTAATTTTTATATATTTTTTTATTAAGGAATTTTCTTTTTTATTAATTTTAAATTTATTTGACTTTCTTAGGACTTTATAGTTAATATATACAGCTGTTAACCCAAAAAATTAAAAAGAAAAAAAAATACAGCTGCAGTACGTTAGTACATACTGTAGTAACTGTACTATTACTATACTACTTGGCACTAAAGTACTGGTATAAAATAAAATAATTTATAAAGGAAAGATAAAAAGGGAAGGGTCCACCAATTTTATTTATTTATTTATTTTTTTAAAATTAGGTTAGGATGCATTTGCTTTGTCAGCCGTCAAAGACTTCATCTTCTTCTACACTAGTTTTTTCATATTCCTCCATTAATGAAACTTGAAGCTTTAAATCTTAAACTAAACCTAAAAAACTCAAGAAAATAAAAGGTTCTTTCACCTACAAACGGGTACTCCATCAAACGCGAACTAGATCGCAAACCACCACGAACCGGAATGAGTAAGTTCCGCGTTTCGGGACACACGTCCTGGTTCGCGGAACGCGTTGTCGTCCCGCGTTCCGTGCATCAATGGTTTATTATACTTTTTTTTTTAATGTTTTTTTTAAACTTACAATGATTCCGTTTGATAAATTTTTTAATAAACAAATAATGAAATATTATTGTACTATAAAACCGTGCTAAACTAGTTAAATATTATTTGCAACATATACTAAAAACAAACACTAAACATCATTTACAACATTCCCAAATCTTTTCATTTTTTGTTATGGAATCACAAAATCTCCTTTACTTATAATTTTATAACTTTAATTACATGCTGAAAGCATAATGAATTATAACCTTTTTTTTTAAAGCCAAATGAATTAAAAACTAACCTATTCTAATTAAAGTCATCTAATCTCATCAAATTTCTCCACATTCATCTACTTCATCTTTTTCATCTTTTTCATTATTTGTCTTTCTCCTCCTTCTCATCTAATTCCTTTACCTTCATCTTCCCCCATTATCTTTCTCTATCCTCCTTTAACCCCATTCTCATGAATTGAAGAAGAAGACCACCCTTTTAATTTTTTCGAATCCAAATTTGGAGATAGGCACTCGTGGGTTTTCGTTTGGTCGGTTGGTTTATGTGTCTCATGGGTCGGGTGGTTCATGCGTCTCGTGGTTGGTTTGTGGGGGTGGCGTGGGTTTCTTGGGTGGTTCGTGGGGGTGGCGTGGGTTTCGTGGGTCTGGGTTCGAACCAATTGGGTGGTGTGGGTGAGTAGTTCGAAGCAACTGGGCTGGGTTAGTCAGTGGTGGTGAAGGTAGTATGGGTGGTTGTTGGGCGGGGGTCTTGGTGGTGTTGGTGGGTTAGTTTGGTTGGATTAGTTATCCACTCTCTCTCCTCTTACTACTTAATTACCCTTACTTTTCATTAATTATCCTTGAGAAATTTAGCCTTGGTATCCGTGCTCCCCCCTTTTGTTACAAATAATATTCAACGGAGGAAGTAGCAAAAAAACCAATTTCGGATAGGTGTAAATTTTTACGATTAATTGATCCTGACATTGACGAAAGCATGAATCATCGTTAGACTCATTTAACTAGTCACTTCTTGTCTTTCTACCCCCACTTACCCCCTAAAAATTGTACCTCCTCCGCTCTCTGTTAAATTGTAACATTTTCTTTCTAAGGAATCTGCAAATTAATTGTAACATTGTTTTATTTGGCTAGTAGTTCTCTGTAACTCTCATTACATGGTACTTTTTCTCTTCTTTTATTTTTTTTTATTTTAGTCTCATTGCTCCTTATAAATTGTGCATCCTTCCTTTGTAGCAATTAAAAGGGGATGAAGTATAAAATAACTCCAACAATGGGTAGGATTTTAAGATTTTTTTTTGCTTGTGTTTATTGTTGTTATTCTTCCTTTCTCTTTCCCTTCCCTCTTGGAGTTTTTTTTTTTTTTTTTTTTTTTTTTTTTTTTTTTTTTTAATTGCTGGTAGGTAGGGGAATGGTGGCGGGGTAAGGAGAATATATATATCCAATGCTTCTTATTGAAGGTTGAAATCCCCAATTATGGAATTGTGCCAATGGAATATCATATGCATTGACAATTCTTCTTTTCTTTTGGATCAGGTATTCAACCAGGGACTGGTATGACAGATGAGATGGAGGAGCAGGAACATGCCCTTAAGCAATGTGTCGGACAACTTGAAGGTGCAGAAGCCATCCGGGTAACTCTAGTTTCGTTGCTTAAAGAGGCGGTTCAGGAACAAGTATGTTATCACTTACCTCTGATATCAATTTTCTTTGTGACTGTTAAATATGTAAGAGACTAATAGCAATAGGTAGAAAAAGGAATATTCATATGTTTTATGTGTGTGACAGTCTTATCATAAAGGGACAGTCTTGCTTTCTGGGCTACCTAAGTCTAGAATTGGTCATGATTTTTGTCATCACCAGTGTCCTAGAAAAGGTATTTACTTTAATAGTGACCTTACAATTTGAGATGCAATTAAAAGCAGGAGAGTTTTTTGGTTGGGTAGGAATTTTAGAGCATTAATGAATTGAAAGTAAATTTCCTAGGAATACCACCAAAACCTTTGCACTAAGGGTAGTTGAAAGGATTCCAGGGTTTCCTGCATTTATTTGTTGTTTTTGTAGTTTATGGTCCTATGATACCTCTTCCTAATAGTTTTAATCTTTCAGGAATTGCAGCTGCAGACTCTACGGCGTCAATTACAGGTAAAGTTCTTCTTCCCTTCTGAGGGCACTTCTGTTATATCTCCCATGACTGTTATTTGCTAAACGTTCTCTTCATGAGTATGAATTTATGATACATTTGTGTGTCACATCTTTTTTGCTCAACCTACCAAAACTCTTTAATGGTGACAATGGACCATGTGACCCTACATAACCTTTTTCATGTACCCTCCCTTAGAGTGGGAACCCATTACAACAATAATGGCAGCTTAAACTTAACCTGTTTATTTATTTTTTTTTTTTTTCTGGCCTACTTAACAGAGATAAGTGTTGTTGAAGGATTCTTGCCCCTATTGACCAAATTTCAGTGACTATAGCTGTCTATACACCTGTGCTGACACAGTATTGCTTGCTGATTAGACATGCAAAACTGACCCAATCTTAAATGGTCTGACATAGACCCAACCCAACCTAACTTGAGATTGGATAACTCCATTTTGACTCTAACCCTCACTGATTTAATTATTAAAGTATCTTCTACTGTGAACTATTACACAATGGACCTTAAACTACTCATCATCATACCTTAACTTATATAACATGAACCAAACCTGATTCAAATGACTTGTTTGCTATCGTACCTGTGATGATGTGTTGTAAAGTGTGCCTAAATATAGAGTGTACCTATTTCGATTGCATTATATTAGTTGAAATTTTTTCTTTTACAAGGTATTATATACTCCCTGCATCCTTATTTTTTGCCCCTTTGCAAATTAATGGGTCAAACTTTAAAACTTTGACCATTAATTGTCATTAATCTATAAGTGATTTTATAGTCATGTGGGTTCTTGTTGGATTCGTCTCATTGTATATATATTTTATAATAATATCAAGTTTTTATAATTTTTACCTAGATAGAAATAGAAATATGTACGCTTTAAGACGTGGGTCTTGGATGCCATTGAAAGTTAAATGGGGCAAAAAAAAATAAAATAAAAAATAGGGACAGAGGGTGTAATATGTTATTCTTTGTACAATATAATGTTTCAGTCTTTTCTTATAATCTATATAAATGTTCGTCATTGGTTGATGATAAGCAATGTTTCTATGGTCCTTGCTAAATAATACAACAATCCCTTCATTTTGACGCTTTCCTTTTTTTCATATATTCCAAAATAATTTTTCCACTTGTACTTTGGAAAGCTTCCATCATTATTTAATCTTCCTTTTCTTTATATCTCAATGTTTGGAATTTATACTTCCTCCGTTTTTTAATAGTTGCAATACACTTTTTCACGGTATTTAAGGTATGTCGGGTTCATATGATTTAATACACTTTAAAATGGGGTGAGTGGTTGTTAGGAGTGTAAGTTAGTGGGCCATGTGCTTTAAATAAGGGAAATAGTATAGCTTTCCCTAAAATAACTTTCCATTTATGGTGTGTTGCAAGTATTGTGACATTTCTATTTTAGGGAAGTGTTGCAAGTATTAAAAAACAAAGAAAGTACTATTTACACACACTCTTTTGACTGTCTTTATTTATTTATATGTTTGGAAAAATATAATTGAAGATATTAAGAAAATAAATTTTCATTAGCAAGTATGGAATCCGTAAAATTGCATTATATAGAACAATGGAAGTACATCTCTCTTTCCTTTGTAAAAAGTTAAAGCCACTCAATCACACGTAATATAAAGATTCATACTATCGTTTATCACATCTTTATTTTTCATAAAATAATACTATATACATTTTCATGTCTACTTTTTCAATAATATAATGATTTATAACCACATAAGCTATGAAAGGGGGATTATAACTATGTCTATAAATCCTTTGACTTTGCTTTCAAATTCCCAAAAATACAATTCCCAAATATATTTTATTCTCATCCGAAATAATAATAATAATAATACTGCTAAAACCTTGTTGATTATTATTTTATAGTAATAATAGTAATTACCGTAGAATATAGTTGCACAATCAAACAATGCTAACAAAATCTACAATATTCAAATAAAATCAATTAGTAACCTAAGCACAAAATATCAAGAGGCTAATGTAACATCATAAAAGTTAATGTTACATATATGGGTATCATATAATACATCATAAAATTCCAAAAGATAATGTTTGATTGCCTTATAAATAAACTCCAAAACAAGGACGAGAAGAAAAGTGAATTGTCTAATTATAGGCCCCTAGTTTGCTTACAGGGGCGCTGTATGATTAGATTTTGATGCAAGATGAAATTTAATTTTCATATGGTATGTTTGGGATGTAGGATTTAATTTAAAATTCTAAAATTGGACCAAATAAAGTGTTTGGCAAAACAAAAAAAATTGTAATTAGATTTCATTCAAACACATGACACTTTAAAACATTCTTAGATTTGTGAGGCACACCTTATCTCCCTCCATTCCACTCTTATTTTTCTGTGTCTTTTATTTGTGGCTAGGATACCAACCTCTATAGCTATATGAAACGAAATTTTATTTGTTTATCGATGGTGGTTATGGATTGATAAACTGATGGGTGAAATATGGAGTTTAAGTTTAAAAGGAGGAAACTACCATTCTTGATTAATAATGTTTTTTTTTACCGTAGTTGTAGGCTAAGGATTATTTTAATGCTGCACCATTCCTCACTACTCCCTCTTTCTCTATACTACCCAAAATTAATTTTCTTTTTTCCTTTTAAGAGCAAAGCGAATGGTTGCCAATTTACTCTCCTCCTCATCTATGGCGAACTCTATGCCCACTTATGACCATGATCTCCCATTAGTTATGTGGACATAGTTTTTCTCTCCTACTCAGGCTTGTTCACTTCACCTATAAAATAATATTCAGTAAAGTTATTTCAATTCCGTAAAAATAATTTCAGTTCAGTAAAAATGATTTACTACCTCCGTTAAATGTTTTCTGCAACTTTTGGAGGGTTTGTGGTTCACAAAGCAAAATTTGATATAGGTAATTAATGTATTTTAGGGTATGTAATTAAAGTGGAGAGAGAATATTTGGATATTTAATCAACCACCCACTACCACCCCAAGACCAGCCAACACCACCCACTGCCACCACCAAGACCAGCCAAGTCCCATTGCCTTCACCAACACCACCGCCGCGGCACTGCCTTTACCAACACCACCGCCGCCTTAAACGCCGTTTTCACCACCACCACTACCACCCCACGATACCACCAAGAAACCACGAAACCCCCACCATTTTAGATCCGACGGATTCCACCACCACCACCACCATTCTCACGAAACCCCATAAACCACTACCAGCCCCACAAAACCACCACCAGCCCCACGAAACCACTACCAACCCATAGATCCGACGGAAACCACCACCACCATTCTCAAACCACGAAACCCCCCATGAAACCCTCCACGAAACCCCCACGAAACCACGAAAACCACACGAAACCCCCCACAAAACCCACATTAGCCCCACGAAACCACCACCATCATAGATCCGACGGAAACCCACTACAAAATCATCACCAACAATTCAACAAACCCATCACAAATTCAATTTCTTAAAAGTTGAAGAGCAAAAGAAAAAGAGAGATAATGATATGGAAAGAGGAGAGAGAAAATATGGGGGAAGATGAAGATGAAGGTGGTTTTGGGTTTCTTGAGTTGAAGATGAAAGAGTTGATAAATTAGATTGGGTTGGTTGGGGTAAAAATTGGGTGAGAAATTAGTAATTAAGTAAATCTGATTGTTGTTAGTAAATTGTGTTTTAATTTTTTAAATGAGGGTAAAATTGATATTTGACTAGTGTTTTTTTACCAAAAGAGGAAAGAAATATTTTTCACACCAATACCTCATCAATATTGCAGCCACGCAACAGCCTAGATAGTCAACGCTCAACCTGCAACGGACTCCCTTATAAGGCTGTAATCATCGTTGTTGATTTTATAACACCTCAACCCGCCGGCTAGCAACACCTCAACTCGCAACCCGCAATTTGTCGCCGGCTAGCAACACTACCCGTCCCTCAACGTTGTTGATGAAGAGTTTGATTAGGGTTTGTGAGATTGGTGGTGGAGTAGCGCTGGGAAGAGACATAGGTGGTGGGTGGCGATTGTTGTTGAGGTGAGGCAGGGGTTGCGGGTCTTGGCGGTTGTAGGTGTGGGCTGCTGGTGCTGCTTTGTTTGTGCGACGGGTGGAGATTGTGGTTGTTGGTAAGTGATGGTGGTTTTGGTGGCAAGAGGTGGTGAAGGTTAAGGTGTGGGTATAGCAAGCACCGACGACTGGAAGAGGAGGGTTTTGGGCGGGCCGGCACCGGGGGTAGGGTCAGGCTTCGAGTGGATAGTAGTGAGGTGGTTGGCATGTGGAAGGGTGTTTGGTGTTTGGTGTTTTTTTTTTGTTTTTGTTTTTGTTTTTGTTTTTATGTGTAAAAATTAAAAAAAAAGCCTTGACCAATGATTTAATGACACGTGGATTTTTACCTAATATAACAGGTAAGGTGACCTGTTGGGCTCATTTTGGGAGAATAAAGGCAAAATTGTATTTATTTTGGGCAGATTTAAAGGTTGGTTTATTTTGGGAGAATGGAGCCAAGGTTGGTTTATTGTTAAATTTTCCTATTAAATATGAACTTAATGGTGGAAATTAGAGGACAGTCTTGAAAGGCAATAATTTTTAAATAGAAAGGCAATGGTTTTTAAATTTTATCTGAGGAGCAATGATCCTAATACCTTAGTTTAAAATTTGTTTAAACCTTAACAAAGTTTTCTTCAAATAAATCTAAAATTTTATTTCAGTCTAACTAAAATAATTGACCCATGATAAAAATATGTAAGAAAAGCAAATGAACCACGATAGCTCATTAACCAATTAATACAATTCTAGATGCCCAAGACCCCATATTTAGTATGATTAAATGCTTCATAATCTAAACATTTGTAAAAACTTCTACTTTAAAAGTAATGCAAAATCAAGAGAGTACCTTCATAAAGCAATACCGATAGTTATAAGGAGTATTGATTCTCATCTTTCCGTTGCCTTCAAGTTTCATTGGAGGACATGGCACCAAGTCACTAGCATCATTGTGCAAAATTCCTTGGAAAGTACCACAATTCTTCCCATGCAATCTTGAAAGTCCCTTCCTCGATTGGCTCATTTCACCTCTTGGATCATTAAAGATCGTCTAAAAGCATTCAAATACAAGAAAACATTGTATGATTATATTTAAGTTATGGAAATTTTGTCAGAAAAAACCATTTATAACAACTATTTTGTTGGAAAAACCTTTGAAAAAATTTTTGGCAAGGAGAAACCACATTGTAAAATATTTTTGTTGAAGACAACTTGAGATCTCTAATCGCATAATTAATCACTAATTTACCGTTAATTCTTCTAATTAGTCATAACTTTCACTAACTATTTAATAATTAAATTGATTTATAAACTAAATCAAAAACCACCCTCACCCTCACCACCACCACTCAACCACCCCCACCTTCTCCCCCCCCCCATGGCAGCAACCCCTCCCTCCCAGCCTCCACCATCCCCAGCCATCGCCTAAAATCCCTCACCCCTGCCGAACTGACCCCCTCCCTCTCACCTTTACCCTGTTCCCTCGCTGACCACCCTCATCCGAAAAACCACCCACCAATACCACCTTCTTCCATAACCACAACCCAGAAACCACCGCAACTCCAACCTGAGGAGAAGGAAAATCTGTCGGAAAAGCGCCGCCGAATGCGATAACAGAAGGAATATAGGAAGAAAAGAAGGAGAGAGAAAATTAGATGAACATAATCGTGACAATAGCTTTAACAATTGAACAATGTTGAATTGGGGAAGAAGAGGAGAGTGAAAATGGTGAATTGGGGAAGAAGAGGAGAGTGAAAATGGTGAATTGGGGAAGAAGAGGAGAGACATAAAGAGAAAGAGTAATTAGAAAAATGGTGAATTGGGTTCTGGAGGAGGGTGTGGTCGGCGAGGGTGAAGGGGAAAGGGAGGGGGTCGTTTCGGAGGGGGTCAGGGGTTCTAGGCGGTGGCTTGGGATGGGGGAGGCCGGGAGGGGGGGTGCTGCCATGGGAGGGGGAGAAGGAGAGGGTGGTTGAGTGGTGGTGGTAAGGGTGGTTTTTGTTTTTTTTTTTAAAAAAATTTATAAATCAATCTAATTATTAAATAATTAGTGAAAATTATGACTAATTAGAATAATTAAGGGTAAATTAGTGATTAATTGAGTGATTAGAGATATCTGGTTGTCTTCAACAAAAATATTTTACAATTTGGTTTCTCCTTGTTAAAAAAATTTTATAAGGTTTTTCCCAACAAAATAGTTGTTATAAATGGTTTTTTCTGACAAAATTTCCTTAATTTATTCATCAGAAACAATAAATTTAAACTTTAAGAGGATTATATTTGTCATTTGCTCATTTGGGGGCATGGTAATAAATCTTGGTAGTATCTTAGCATTGCGGCCGAATTTTAAAGTATTTCGAGTTTACTAAAACTCAGATATTAGGGGGCCGCAACAACCATAGTTGTTATACGACCAATACTGCGATTGCAATCACATCCAAGATATAATACTTCCTCCGCTCTAATAATATTGCAACAATGGACTTTTAGCACTATTCATCACTCTTGTTTGACCATACAATATGATTTATATGTTAAACAAAATATAGTCATGTGGGATCTTGTTAGATTAGTCTCTTAAAATGGTTTCATAATATCAACTTTTTATAATTTACTCTTATGGAATTATAGATATTTCACATGTAAAATGTGCATTGGGATGCGTAATTTCACCCTTGTAATATTAATAGGACGGAGGAAGTACATGTATGAGGGTGCTCAAAAGATAAATGACCAAATACTATTTATAGAAGAATGTATTATTTTCATGGTACATCGAACATATAATGGGCAACCCTCATGTTGGGGTGGTTGGGTTTGGGCATCATTTTCCCCCTTTTCAATTCTACAAAGGAATGAAGGATTTGTACTTTTTTTTTTTCAATATATATGTTTTAGTCCATTTTTCTACTAATTTGTTTTCTATAACTGTTAGTGCATTATTGTTATTTCCTTTTATAAATTTCAATTTATAGTAGGTTGTCAATAAAAAAAAAAAATTTAGTAGATTACAATTTTGACAAATTGTTTTTAAAGAGAATTTAAGCCTTAAAGATCTATGTAGTATAGCTATAGCCATTCAAGTCAGACCAAAGAAAATAAAAATAAAAAATCTTTGTAGTTATTAAAAATCATCTGACGACTTTTGTCTCGTAAATAGATCGGCGTATGTATAAATCCATGCATGTAAGCTATTTTCTCAAAAACCATAGTACTTCTCACCTATATTATTCTGACTCTTCATTTCACCTCACGTACCGTGTCGAACCCTCGGACATGGGTGGGACACTTGGACACTTCATTTTAGTTCAAAATCATTTAAAATTTTCAAAAAATAGTCAAGTCGGACGCTTGGACACGTATCCGTGTCGGACATGGGTACCCGAGTCCAAGTGACATAGCTTCTCACCGGGGTGCCTTGTAGTCAGATGTGTCACTAGCTTAGTTTTAGTAATACCCTTTGTTGTTATTATCATTTGATCTAGGAAATTTTGCCCTTTGGTGTCGTGCGTTTGCCATAATTAAATTTTGGTGCTTTATATTTCACTAATTCCATGCGTTAAAATTTATTTCATGGAGGATCTTGTAGTTAACTGGTATTAAGAGCTTCTTTGAGTATTTCCCTTGTTCCTGTTTCGTGTTTAAATTTTTTTTTGCTTGAGTTCCTAGTAGTTAGCCGCGTCAAGTGCCTTGTTAACCTACTACAATGTGTGATCAAACTGATCAATTATTTAGATGTTTCAAAGTGCTGACAAATGTCTATATGACCTACCTGATGAATCCCATCAACATTTGCATCCAATAATTTATTGCTATTGGACTCCGAAAAATCTCCCGTCTTTCTTTATTAATTATTCTCTCCATTATCAACTCCTTGTTTTTCCACCTCAATAAATCCTTTCTCCATCTATGTGAGGCCGATAAAAGACTTAAGACATCTATGAGAGGCCAAGAGTATAACAGCTGCATATACTTGATGTGTTAATCTACTTGAGAAGAGCTTAATGTTTTTGTCTTGCCATACCACCAACTATTTTGTTAGAACTTCCCTCTGCTTATGTATGCTATAGGAGTATTTTGAGACTTCGTCTCAAAAGGGTGATTGGATGATGAGCTTTTGGTGAAGTAAAATAAAATAAAATCTATACCGAGTATTTTAAAACTCAAATCGGGAAAAATATTTGCCTCATCCTATTACACTCCCCGATCTTCTATTCCAATCCCTTGTGTCACATGTCTATTTACATTTTTGATTTTATATTATATTTTTTTTCTTAACTCTTTCATTAAACTAATACTTTTGTTTTTCAGAATACCCACAACAATCCAAACTAATTGTACTTCATCTCCCACGTACACTTCATCTCCCACGCACACTTCATCTTCATTTCCCGTCTTCACTTCTACCTTTTCCTTTTCTCTCTTTAAGTTTCCCTCCACCTTTTTTTAAGCCTCATTTTGAATTCAAGTCCCAAAAATTTGGTTTCTTTAATTATGTATTCAGTTACACGTTACACACCATAATGAATTATTGGTATTTCCTCACTCAATACAATTTCCTGTGAACAACCTGTGCATTCTACGGACAGAAAGCTAGTTATATTAGAAAGATCAACGGTGATAAGCTGTTACTTGACTTCGTTATTATAAGCCTCAAATTTTCTCTAGTGGGGTAGGTCATTAGCAGGGCATGTTGCTAGCGGGTCACATCACGTCAGGGCCATGTACAAAAGTATAGCGGGTTGTTAGAAGGCTTAAACCATTTTGCAACCAATTTTCTTTTTCCTCTCTCTAAAAGTCAAAAACTCCGTCCTCCTTCACCTTATACTATGATTAGTCGATTACTATGGTTTTTAATCGTATACAACTATACAAGTATATAAACATACAAAGTATAATTTTTCCTTCATTTTTATTTTACTTTTAATTTACCTTTTTTGAAATTCATAAAAAATGGTGTCTGTACAACAATGAAACATGTCGTTGCACCACCAACACCACCATCATTAACACAACAGCCACAATAGCAACTCCAACACCTACCAAACTGGCTAATCTCTACATACCTCTGTGATGCTAGTGAAGCTAGTAAATGGTTAAACCTCCACTTGGTGGACACTCCAGCGGGGATGTCTATGATTATGACACAATCAGGTGAGTTGACTTACAATGAGGAGACCAGAAATCCAGAGATTGGCGATGGCGGTGTTTCCTTCAGTGGCCAGAATAGCAGCAGTGGTGGCGTGTTTGAGGATCGCAACTTGGTACAAAGTCGAAGAGGAGAGAGAGAGCTATGATAATGGGCATTGTGTGTAGCCCTTTATTATTGGACTCAAATAAAGACCTTATAAAATCTTTATAAAATAAGACCCTATAAAAGCCATGTCCATTGAAATTAAAGTGCCAAAGCCCTTGCCTAAACCTTTTTCCATTTTGTATCCCTTTCCAATAACCAGGTCTACCCTCAAATTTCTGTTAGATGGCAGACTTTATGCAGTTTGGGAACTATTTGTACATCTGAACCGTTAGATTGTGTATTTGTGTTATAGGAAGGAAGTTGGGAACTTTGTGCTCGTTGGTGCTGTTGGGTCATTGCGTGTGGAATTTTATTCCCAGTACCGCAGGATTTGGAATATACTTGTATATGTAAGATGCAGATCATGCTATTAATTGTCTTTAGAAAGGCAATAGATTTTTTTTCTTCAAAAATTAAAGTTTGTTCTACATTTTTTTTAAAATGTGATTTTTATGCATTTTGTCTACAATTTTTGCTTACTTTCTTTCAAATAGTAGTTTGGCTAAGTTGGTTATATTCTTGGGGTTGCAGATTGCTCGTAGTCGAATCAATGATGTGGGAATTATGAGACCAAAGGTATTATCACATCATTCACATGATCATGGTGTATCAGCTGCACCAGTTCCTGTGTTGACTGATCCGCAGATGACAGGAGAGCTTAATAGCTCTGCTTTGCAGCCAACAAGCAGTCTTCAGATCCCTTCAAGTCAACCAATTGGCAGTAACCAGATTCCTGTTCATCAAGTCCCTCAAACTCCCACTCAACACACAACTGCTTTTGCTGCACTTGCAGCAACTGATGAAGAGAGTAAAAAAGCTGCTGCTGCAGCTGTTGCTGCTAAGCTTGCTGCCTCCACATCTTCAGCACAGATGCTTACCTCAGTCCTTTCTTCCCTTGTGGCAGAAGAAGCTGCTTCAATGAATGATAGCTTGAGAAAGGTGGGGTTTCCTGCTAACTTGTCGATGTTCTCTCCTGAAAAACGGCAGAAAATGGAACAGCCATCATCAGGAGCGGATGCTGCAAACCTTGATTCAGGTAGCTCACCCTATTTTACCCCTGTCCAGCAACCGATCTCGAGCAATCCACCCTCCCAGTCCAGCATGCAGGCTTCATTGGGCCCACCTCCCCCGCCACCACCTCCCCCAGCTATGCTACCTGCCAATCCAGTTCTGAATCAGTATACTCAGTCTGCTGGTATGATGTTAAATATGATGCCTTATGGGTTTGGTAGCAACAGTCTACCACCTCCACCTCCTTTGCCATCCCATGTTTCCATGGGCCTTGCCCGGCCACTAGCCCCACAAAGCTCACAGCCACTCCAGCCTCCTCAACAACTGTCTCAGCAGCAGAATGCAAGTGGAGGATTCTACCGGCCCCCTGGCATTGGTCTCTATGGGTCAAGCAGTCAACCATCAACACCACCTGTGCAGCGGCAGTAGCTCTATGCTGAAACTTTTGGAGGGGAGTGGATGTTTTGATATTTCTCCCGTGCGCCTGTACATTATTAGGCTCTTGTTCACTTCTAGGCTATACACCTTTTGGCACCATACTGTATTAACTGTGATGGATATTGTGTAGCATTAAGGGGTTATTTTAGTTTTTACAAAATAACTTACATTTGTAGCTTAGACATGTATCCTTTAAAAACAAGTAGCTTTTAAATCTCTTAGGTAACAACGAACATCTTAATTCTTATTTAGCCTTATGATATTCACAGCACCATGCCTCCGAAATCTGAGTTTAGAACACTAATGGCTCATTTGATAATCGGTTTTGGAATAGTGGCAATGGGAATGAATTTATATGGAAACTTGGAAAGAAAATCAATGTTAATCCCATGATAACTCAAGATGGCAGAAATTCGAGCTTCAATGTTGCTTCTTGAGCTTTTAATGCATCGATTTTGTCAAGTAATTTAGTACTGGGCTCTTTGTGTAACTACATTGCTTTCTATAGTGAAGATTGAAGATAGAGAAAGAGGAGAGATTTAGGGGGCATTTGGCATCAACTCAGTAAAGGTAACGGAATGGAAACAAATTAAGAGGGGAAAGGGTAATATATAGTGTTCTCTTTACTAGTTGTTTGGTATTACTAAGGAAACACAAACGATTACAACCAATCCGTTTCCTTTTATTTGGCATAAAAAAGGGAAAACAAATTTTTTAAAAAAAAAAAAAAAAAAAAAAAAATAAATTAAAATATTAGTGGGCGACATTAATCACAATTCACAAGCTGCTTTATAATTGCTTCAACATACTCAAATTTTTTTTCCCCTCTTTTATCTTACTCCAATTTAATTACTCTTATCCAATAACCAAAATCATCAGCTTATAAAATGATGATTTAGGTCACTTTTTTCTTTTATTGATCATAAAAACACAACTACACAGATTGAAATCAGCAGACCATCAAAATTATCAACATCAAATCATATAATCGCAAAGGCAACAATCTTCATCGATCATTATGAAACTTCATTCATTATTTCTTATTTTTTTTTGGTGGGTAAGATGTTAGAATGATGAGTTGTTGTTGAGTGATTTTATTTGACCCAATTTTGACAAGTCTTGAATAATGAAGCAAGATCTTGAACAATGGCATGCTGAGGAATCGAATTCGGAAGAGAGAGATAGGGTGAGTAAGAGCTTTGGGAGAGAGAGTGAATGAGAGATGTTAACATTGTTAAATGAAGGAAACAAATTGTTTCCTTGGGTCAAAGAGCGGAATCAAATTGGGTTGAAATGTTACACCTAGCTAACGGTATTCGTTACTCTCTAACCTTTACCAAACAAGCGGTAACGGAGTGGGTTATTTGAATCCGTTTCCATGGCTTCAAAATTCTATACCAAACACCCCCTTACTCTGTATAAAACAATATCCAATACAAATATTGCAAAATATAATTTAAATAATCTACTGTAAAAAGTATCAACTTCAAATTTTAAAATGTCAAAATTTGATATTAGAATTTCAAAATCTAATATAAATAAAAAAAATGATATAAAAATAATATAAGTCCAATCCGATGTGAAAAAAAATAAAATCTGAAATGAAATAAATAAAATCTGATATGAAATTGTCAAAATCTAATACGAGTATAAGTTTATCAAAATATGATGTTTAAAACTATAAAATTCGATGTAAAAATGACAAATCATAATTTTAAATACTCAAATTTTGATACTTCCTCCGTTTTTTTATTATTGCACCATAGGGGTTGGGTACAAATATTTTGGTAGCAGAAAAAAGTAAGAGAGAGAAAGGTAAAAATACAAAATAGTCCATGTGACATATTGATAAATTAAAAAGTAAGTGTGAAAAACAAGGGTATGTTGGGTATTTTTAGTGTGAACACAAATAATTTTTTTCCTAAAGAAGAAATGGTGCAATATTTGTGAAACTTCTTAAAAAGACAAGTGGTGCAATAATAAAAGAACGGAAGTATTAGAATGTCAAAATCTAATATAATTAAAAAAAAAAAGAAAGAAAATCTAAATCTAATGTAAAAGAGTTAAAATATAATATTACTGATGGGCGTTAAAACGGTCGCACATTCCACACTCAATCAAACACATTCATAAACAAACATCCCACAAACCAAGCACAACGATAAGTAAGAGTTCGTTAAACAAAGAACCGGATATGATTGCTAAGGATTTTAATACTTAAGCTAGTTCAAAGTCTTTGGTGATTTGAGGTTCGTCAAGTAGACAAAAAACTATATTTCTAGCTCAAGTGATTAAAGACACTAGGGAATAGAAGATACTAGGGTATGGGATCCACTCAACCATGACAATTAGGCAAATTGGAAGTAAAATAGACAAGAGATAGCAAAGACTATATGTAAAATCAACCTCATGCAATTAGAAAACAACTCACACTACTCATCTTGGATTCCTCATTAGTTTAGCAATAGAAGATACACAATCAAATTGCAATAAATAATGTCATACCCAATTCACATTTCCATGTCAAACTAAGCACACCATGCTATCAAGCTCCTAAATCAAGGGTAGCTAATTCTATCATGCAGAACTAACAAGCAATCTCATACAATTAATTTAATTGCAAATCAAACATCAAAACTTCTCCCAAGTTTACATAACTAACCATTAGGTTGAGCCTCACCCAACCCCTAGCAAAGAGGACTACTCACAACTCATCTTAAGTAACATGCAAACAAGAGTTAGGGTTCTAATTACTTCAATAATTGGGAAAAAGCGATTAACTAATGAATAAACTATCATCCAACAACAAATTATCAAGAGCTAAAGACACTTAACTAACACGCAATGACAAAGTAAAATCATAAATTAATTAGAGAAAAGTAGAAGAAAGTTACTAATTGAAGCTTCCAATGTTGAGTACAATGTGTTGAATCTTGAGAATAATCCTTGAAAACCAACTATTACAATGATTAATTTGGTAAAAACTAAGCTAAATTATCAAAATGGATTGTTTCAAACTAAGAGGAAACGCTAAAAACTATGCTACTACTGTCTCTCCTCCAAATGAATTAAAGGGGAAGTATTTATACTCTCCGAATTACATAGGTTAATCCGTCAAAATAAAACGGAATTTTAGCGAGGAGCGCCCGCTCCTAACAGTTGCACACCTAATCCTGATTGCCTCAGAAGAAGTTAGAATTCAAATAATCGGGGAGGAGCGCCCGCTCCAAGGGCTCTGCACGCCCGCTCCCATGTTCTTCAGCATATGCATATTCAAGTTGCTTGGGGAGGAGCACCCACTCCAAGGAGGGTGCGCGACCACTCCTCCCTGCTTCACCATAAGGAAGAATGTATCGGAGCAGCTAGGAGCGCCCGCTCCAGCTAGGGTGCATGCCCGCTCCTCACAGGTTTGGATTTGGGGAAGAATATCTTGATTTCGATGGAGCGCCCACTCTTGGAGAGGTGCACGCCCGCTCCACCAGGAACGAGCTTTCCTTTCTACGTTTTCACGCCTTGAACTCCATTCCGAGCTTTGATAGCTTGTCAAAGTGATTCATAACACCTGCAGAACATGGACAAACACATACAAAGAGGGGGCAAGGCCGTGACACAACTTTTATACACAAAACGGGTCAGAAAAAGGGGAAAAGGTTGCAAAACCGAGTTTAAATTAACATAATAAGTAGTCAAATAAACCACTTATCAATTACCATTTTTAAGTATTATCTAATCCCTCTTCTCTCTCCTCTAGAGTTTTGATTTTCTTGGACGTTTAGGCTGAAAATAGTTAAATTTCTTCGAAAATTAGACTTTTTTTTTATTTTTTTTTATCCTTTTTCTTTAATTTAATTCAATTAGTTGCTTGGTTTGCCGTTTGTTTTGATTGCTTTTTTCTCTCCATTTGTGAGGGTCTGTCCCAATTTTTATTTTTTTGGTTTTTCTCAATTTTCTGGGATTTTGATTCTTATTAATAGATGAGAATTTTATTTTTAGGGTTTTGATAATTTTTAGGAAGGTGATTTGGATTCATATGGATTTAGGATTTTTCATCAACTCTACGATCAAAACATCAGCGCGAGTTGCGAAGGTCTCTAGTTGGAAAGATGCAAAGACATCGAAATCAGTTTATGATTTTTGTTTCGGGTAATTTTGTGATTCTCTCGGACTCTGGTCACGTTCTTCTGACAAATAGACTCGGACACCTGCAAAACACGAATATTCTGGTGACAGAATATTCGCCTTCGACGGTTAAGTTAGTAACCTGAAATAAAAAAGGCTAGAGAGAGAAAGTGGAGAGAAGTTGGAGCTGTTTTGTGCTCTATTAAATGTTGTCTTAATCCACCCCTCCCATCATAAATTATTGGGGTATTTATAGGGTGGGAATCTAAGCTTTTTAGGGTTTGTACCCTAGAATGACGTTTTTTATTGGCGGCGTAATCATGCAGGGACACATGTCCTTGGGAAGCGCCGTTTTGCTCTTTCTTGGGACATTAGGAGGCCCTTTATCTCTCTTATTTAGGTGCTATTTAATAGGGTTGCATATGTGGCTTATTCCTATAGTAACATGTGTCGCATTCTGATTGGGCCACGTGTCACCATGGGATTGGTCCACGTGATGGGGTGATTTTTGCCCCTCAGAGGGGTGATTTTTTCACTTTAGAGGGGGTGGCTCGTACTTTATGGGCCGCCTCCTCTGATTTTTCTACACGTCCAGTCATGTCAAAGTATTTATAGCGTTGGTATGCGGACGTTACCATTCGTTTCATTGGGAGATTTCTCCTTTGGGCCGGACGCTTGGTCCCATCCGCTTGTAATCCCTCTATTTGGGCACTTCTTGGTCCGGAGGTTAGTCGGACACAGTAGGCCGACTACCTTTTTAGAAAGGACACCTATTGCCTCGAATTTCGGGATAACGGTTTAGATTCGGCTGACTTATCCGTCTATTTTGACGTGCCATCAACCCGTTTGTCTTCTCTTCCCTTTAAAGTGACGAAAGAACGTTTTTTACCTATTCGGATTCAAGGTTAACTATTCTAAAAAGTAACCATTCGAATTGTTAGCGGGTACACTACAAGAAAACAACTTAATTCTGACGGAAAAATTCCGTCGGAAACACCCTGTTTTCCGTTGGAAGTCTTAAGTGTTGTCGTGATAGTGTTCGTAGGAAAATTGACCTTTTACGGGGGAAATTTCGACGGATTTCATCCATTGGAAGAGGTTTTCGGGGTGTGGAAAATTCCGTCAGAAATTTCCGACGAAAATGAGTTCGTTGAAAATTCTCGATGGAAATTCCGTCGGAAAATCCTTTAAAAAAATAAAAAAAAAGCCTCCCACCACCCCCACACCACCAGCTACCACCCCACACCACCAGTCCCCCTATCCTGACCCCACTGCACACCGACCCAACCAGAACCACACACCACCACCAACCCTATCCTACAACCACACAGCACCACCGACACCACTAACG